ACCCAAATTCGGATACTCGCGATCACAATGAACCTATGGATAACTTGCAGGATCCAGGGTTCGTCGATGCTGTCAGAGCTTGGTCACGTCTGCGGTTTGTTCGAGCAGGTTGGCTTACAGTGGAAGAATCCATGGCATATGTGGCATAGTGAGTGCTCACCTTTCTTTTCTCGTCCTTTGGATGTTTTTGTTCTGACAGACTATAGCTACTATGAACACCTTGCACCGTTGAGCCCTATCGTCATTCCTGATTTCTCACATCCTTCGACACATCGCACCCTTCTCACTGATGAGCCTGTACTGGCTGTTACTATTCTTACGACGGCATCACGGCATATGAAACCCAAGGGTGATGGGGCATATACTCGGTCATTCTACATTCATGATCGACTCTGGTCTTATCTTCGAGGTATGATTGAGCGTCTTTTCTGGGGCCAAGAGAAGTTCGGCGGGAACGGCATTGGAATCAGCCAGCCTCGCTCGTTTGACCTGGCCCCAAGTGCAGCCAAAGTGAGTCTCAAAGGAAACTTGAGATCCCTGGGTAGTATCGAGGCACTCTTGATCCTCACGGACTGGCACCCCAGGAATCTGCACTTCCCCCCTGGTGATGATGAAAATACGCTCTTGGACTTGGACGCGCACGCTCAAACTCGCCTTGAGAAGGAGGTCGAGCATGATGGTGAGCCAACGCACCATCGGGCCTCTCAAATCTCAGGCGAGGGGAGACTCGCCTTCCAAAAGTGGTTGGAGCCCGCTTGGCGGTCTGATCGGATGTCCTGGATGCTGTTGAGCACCGCACAGGCGCTGGCTTTTGAGCTGGGAGTTTTTGATCATAAGAGCGAAGCGAAGACTGCGAATGACTCTCCTGCTGAACAGACACGAAAACGTCGACTCCGGCGTCTGATTCTCGTTTACATCACGCAGAGCAGCGGCCGTCTGGGAATTCCTTCTATGCTTCCATTACCACAGTGGACTAATGACATCCAACCAACTCCTGTGTCAACTTCAAAAGGTGGTGATACAACTATTGATCGGATGCATGACTGCTGGATTGGGATCACCAAGATCATGTATCAGAGCAATCAGCTGTTGTTCGCATCTAATGAACAGACATCGGAACTGATTAGGAGTGGGCGATATCGTGACCAGATTGATCGGTTTCAGCCTTTTCTACGAGAATGGCGGAATAATATCGACACGATTGACCGTAAGTACTGTGTACCAATTTTGCTCTTGACATAATGCTGACTGTTTAGTCGCACCTGCCATGCGGCACATCTTGATGATTGAATACGAATATACCCGTAAGTAGCCACTTATTTTGATTTTGGAATATAATGTCCTAAACATCAACAGGCGTTTATGTCAATTCATTAGCTCTGCAAGCAGTCGTGGACCGTTGGACCACGATGTCCAACGAAGCTGCCCAGGCTCAGAACGGAAGACCGGGCTCTGGTCCGTCATCTAACAATTGGTTTCACATGCTCATGGAGCTGTACCGTGTCAACGAGCAATACATTCAGGAAGTTGTCGACGCATCACGTCGGATTCTACAGACCGTACTGGATGACCTGGTTCCTGGAGATCACCTCAAGCACGCTCCTGTGCGGACATGCTTCCGGATTCTGTCTGGCATGATCTTCATCCTCAAGGTAGGTCTCTGTCATTTTCCTTATGTATGGCAAATCTGGCTAATGGTCGCAGACATTCACCCTTGGAGCGAAAGAGGATGATGTGCGTGTATCGCTGGACCTTCAGGATCGAACGGTGGAAGCGCTGAGGACATGTGTCGTCGACGATGTCCACCTGAGTCACGCCATTGCTCGGCTGGTGGAAATGCTTACGACCAGCATTCGCACCAGATTCCTTCGATTTGCCCCATTGGACCGAGGTGGTGATGGTGACGGTCACGATCGCACCTCCGCACCGGTCTCCAGGCACCAGTCACCGCGTCCTCGCGATGGCGCGCACGACCGTCGGGATGGCTCGAACCATGCATGGACACCGGGCCACAGCGCAGCACAGAATATTGGCTACGTTGATGGCAATAATCCGACGAGTACCACAATGGGATCAGTGCATGATCCGCTTGCAGCCATCCCAGCGCAGCCGATCAATTCTTCGAATATTAATGTCTCATTCATGCCTCCACCGCCGTCGGTGTACCATAATTACTATGAACCGCACACATCGCCTCCTGCTGGAGGGATGGAAGGCTCGAATGTTCCGTCGCAATCCATGAACGATAATTCCGGCACCTCCGGCGGGCTTCCGGACTGGTTCGCGCTTCCACTCGATCATTTCTTCAACAGCTCGACGGCCGTTGTTGATCACGGCCTCGGAGGAACAGGGCCAATGGTAGGCGAGTTTGACATGCTTGAAGTCCTGCTCAACGAGCAATATGACGGCACGGGCGACGGCCTCGATTCAACAGGGCGCGACGGTCTTCCGTCCCAGTTCCTGCATTCTTAGCTGATCCCATCCCGAACAATAATGACGAATGCTTATCATGTTTAATCTAACGGTGGTGCTGTTGCCAAAAGTTCAATTGAGCTACACCCGAGATTGCTTTTCCGTATTTTACCTCGGCCAAGGTGTTCTACCCTTTATCCTGCCAGGCGCCAAGCACTGCGAATCATGCTTAGCGTTCAGTGGCTTGTTCATATATATGCTTGTCTTAGGATTGTTTCTTGGTAATTAGAAGTTGCCATTCACGGGGATTGCATTCCTTTTCTGAAATGATTGCCCCTCGACTATTGGCTCTCAACAAGGTCTTGTATAGTGTATGAGGAAGGGTTATCTGACAGCTTGGCGGTTTCAAGATATTTACCATGTGTCATTCTATGTTTCTATGCGGGAGTTCCAAATGTTGGACTCCAGACACTTGGACACGAGCTTAAAAATAATAGCCTTCTAGGACCGTAGAACGAGACACGCGCTGTTCCTGGGTACGCACACTGGATGTTTCAGTGTCGCACAGTCATTTATCCAGTGTGATGATGACCGCTTTTCTGTCGACAGTTAGCCTAACCAAGTATTATTTATTGTCTAGTCGTTGTAATAATTATTGTCTAAAAGTATTGATCTCACCTCGCATATGCGTCCCACAGGAGGCTTTTCCCTTGTGCAGCAGACTCCATTCTCCATACTCCATCCGAAGTACCGGAAGAGCTCAAACTGCCGATCAAACAGGAAATCGATTCCGCCATCCCGGCCAGAACTCCGGAAATTTGTAGGGATAATTGGCCTTGTTACGAGTAACTCCGGCTATTTTCTTGTTTTATTGTCAAGTGCTGGTTCAGACGTGAAAGCTGCAGCTTGTAGGAATGGTAGTGTCGATATCACTGCGCGATCCGAAGACATATTCACCGTATAGGTGTATCCAGCCTCAGATGAGAATAGCCTTGTGATTTGACTCTGCAGGGGCAGTCAACGATCTGACCCTGATGAACGAATCATTTTAGTCATGCTATGCTCCAGAGTCTCTTCCTCTTAGCTTATCTTTGAAGATCAACGCCCTCAGTTTGCATCTGATGAATCTCCCAACATTCGAGCATCGGTATTCGCTCGGACTCCGACCCTTTCAATTTGGGACTTTGGTGAGTGAAAGCTGAATTGAAGCTTCTGAATGGCTGAAGTCCTCGGATTGTGGACGGAGACCTCGGAGGGTCTAACTGAAAACTGAATAAGAAAAATGATAAGGGCTCGAGTGTGAGTGGATGGTGAAAGTCACAAAGTGACATCGTGCCTGGTTAGTCTCTGCGGGTGGATTGGGCTGTCGCTTGGCGTTGGTGGTTGAGAGAACGAAGTGGCTGAAGGATACGACAATCTACAGGTAGTTTTGTAAGGCTGACATGAAATTACCCTAGCGATATCTGGCGAGGGATGAATATACTCATAGAAGGAAGAATATACAATGACCAAAGGATCGAATAGAGAGGGAAGATCATGGAATCGTAGGGGACCAAGGCAGTAAGGCAGTAACTAGGCTCATCGCTTTTCCTTCGTCTCGATTGTTCGCCTTCAGCCAGCACGTTCTACAAAGTAGGCTTCTCAATTTCCGTGAATCTTGAAATGTATCACCATCCATGTGATGTCGTGATTCCATCCCATCCAATAAACCTTTCAATCGTCCTGCTGAGACCATGGTCTCTCAGGGTCGTCCTCTGACTAGCACCCATGCTTCCATCTCCTCAGGGGCTTGCATAGTTGCATCGGACTCCGGTCAATCCCAGACGATTCTGATTAAATTTATCCGTCAATTTATGCAGTTAATCTAGAATGTACACTAGGCTCCTAAGATTTGTTCAGTACCGTGAGTCCTGTGCTCCCCACTCTCCACTGTGGTCACTAACACTATCAATGACGATCTTCAGGTCATAACGAATGAGATTGCTTCTCTGACCTGCCTAGATAGCTTAATACCCGAGCCGCCGGCGTTGTCCGTCCAATCCAGCTGGGCAGCAGGACAAGAATAGCCCGCAGGACAAGAGAAATCTTGTCCTCTCTTGTCCTAAACAAGCAACATGCAACTGTGCTGTAGCATTCAAGGCGTCCGCACTAACCTCCTGGGTGGGTGCTTGGGCTGATTTGCTTCATTCGCCCCGCTACACTATCTAGAACGGACAATCGCGGCCAGGGTACCGTTCCATCTTTCTCTTGGCCTAGCCGGGTGGGTGTGACAATTCGTCTACGAGCCCTCCAAACCGGGATTCATGTCCCTGGATCATGTAGATCTTCGTCGTGAACTTCCTGGATAAGAGATATGCCCTGAATGCTTAGGTGAAACTTGCTCCTCCTGACCCCGGAGTGACTCCGTCGGTACTTGCTATCTCTTCTATGTTCATGGACGAGAGAAAAAGTATATAAAGGAGGCATGTTCACCACCTGTTGACGGAATCCCATCCTCATCCTCATTCAGCAAGAGTTTGAGATCGTCTCTGCTTTCTTTTTTTTTCGTTTCTACTTCACCCGGTCCAGTCGTCCGTTGCTTCATCAAGATGGTCGTCTTTAGCAAAATCACAGCTGTCATCGTCGGTCTCTCGACCATTGCGTCTGCTGTGCCTGTGGTTCAGTCGCGGAAGGGCTTCACTATCAACCAAGTGGCCAGGCCTGTGACCGACAAGAAGACCGTCAATCTTCCAGCCGTTTATGCCAATGCTTTGTCCAAGTATGGCGCTACTGTCCCTGCCAGTGTCAAGGCGGCTGCAAGCTCCGGCAGCGCTGTTACTACCCCCGAGCAATATGACACGGAATACCTGACTCCCGTCAAAGTTGGTGGAACAACCCTGAACTTGGACTTTGACACTGGCTCTGCAGATCTGTAAGCGCGCCCTGTTCGTCTTTCTTTCTTGCATTGACTAAGTGTTGTAGCTGGGTCTTCTCCTCCGAGCTTTCTGCTTCCCAATCTAGCGGCCATGCCATCTACAAGCCATCCTCCACTGCCAAAAAGCTGAGTGGCTACTCCTGGCAGATCTCCTATGGTGATGGTAGCTCTGCCAGCGGTGACGTCTACAAGGATACGGTCACTGTGGGTGGTGTCACTGCCCAGAGCCAGGCTGTGGAGGCTGCCAGCCAAATCAGCTCTCAATTTGTGCAGGATAAGGACAACGATGGTCTGCTGGGTCTGGCATTCAGCTCCATCAACACAGGTGAGACTCTGTCAAGATTTCCAGCTTCTCCCTCAGCCCACTGACTCGAATCGATGCAGTCTCTCCCCGGCCTCAGACTACTTTCTTTGACACTGTCAAGTCCCAGCTGGACTCTCCTCTCTTTGCTGTGACCCTGAAGTACCACGCTCCAGGAACCTACGACTTTGGATACATTGACAACTCCAAGTACAAGGGACAACTCACTTATACCGACGTCGATAGCTCCCAGGGTTTCTGGATGTTCACTGCTGATGGCTACGGTGTTGGCAACGGAACTCCCAACTCCAACCAGATCAGCGGCATTGCTGGTATGTTTTTCTCCGTTCCGTTCGAAAAGGAGTACCAGGCTGATCCATTTTAGACACCGGCACCACCCTCCTGCTGCTTGATGACAGCGTCGTTGCTGACTACTACCGGCACGTTACTGGGGCTAAAAACAGCAACCAATACGGTGGTTATGTCTTCCCCTGCTCCACCAGCCTTCCTTCCTTCACTACCGTCATCGGTGGCTACAAAGCGGTCATTCCCGGCAACTACATCAACTTTGCCCCGGTCACTGACGGCAGCTCCACCTGCTTCGGTGGTATCCAGAGCAACTCGGGCTTGGGCTTCTCCATCTTCGGAGATATCTTCCTCAAGAGCCAGTACGTCGTCTTCGACTCCCAAGGCCCCAGACTCGGCTTTGCCGCTCAGGCCTAGATGAGTATGCAGGCGGTTCTTGGTCTTTGAGGCCCAGCCTCGCCATATCTATAGGGTCTGTGACCGCCGAGAATTATCTCGAATTTAGTTCTTGTATATGCTTTTTGTTTAAAACAGCAATGTGATTATGACCACAGACTCTTTCTACTTTGCGTTAGCGAAGATAGTAACTATATGCGCCTTTTTAAAATTCGGATGTATATCGAATATATACGTTGGCCAGTGTATGTTGTTATGTGCCGGGTGCATGTGCGAGGATTGTCCTTTATCAACTGCGAGACGTTCGTTTCCTGTGAACGAATCCCGATTCCTCTGAGCTCTACACTTAAAGCATTAAAATATAAATGATTCCGGGTGGTAATGGGTTGAGGAGGTAGGCCAACGTCCGCTTGCATCTGGGTTGAGATTGAAGCGACAAGGTCTGCTTCCTTCTCATTCAACAGATATTGCGCGCAAGCCACAGCTGCAAACCCTCCCCTCCATCCTGCTGTGTTATCAGAGTCATTCCAGATGAGCTCACCGCTTATGCTGGGGATGATTTCAAGCCAGCAGGTAGTACGCCTCGCATATTTCGCCTTGATGGAGGGTCAATGCAAGGGCGAAGATTGAGGTAACACATATCACCTTGGACAGTCAGCCACAGTTCGCCATGAAAATTTATATAAGGTTTGACTGCGGTTCAATAGTCAAGATGGCTTCTTCATCTGACAAGTTGTGCAAACCTGATCCGAAAAAATGGTGGAAAAAGTCCTTCAATATGAGGACGGGTCGTCCACGGATTACTCGACACCCGTCGTAGACTCACTCTCCGAAGAGGAGCGCGGGATCGAGCCCAAACTACGTCGCAAGCTCGATATACGGATCATGCCTATTATCATTTTGACATATCTTCTTAACTTCATTGATCGGTATACCGCATCCGCAGATCATGGAAGATTCAAGCTGACCTACCTAGGTCAAACTATACCGCTGCCCGTCTTCAGGGTCTAGAGGACGATCTCCATCTCTCCGGCTCAGAATACCAAGTCGGACTCTCGGTGTTCTTCGTGGGATATGTCCTTGGGCCAATTCCATCGAACCTTCTGCTGAACTATCTCGGCCGTCCCTCGCCTTACATCGGTCTCTTTGGAATCGCCTGGGGACTGGTGACGCTGTTGACCTCGCAGGTGAAGGGCTATGGATCCCTTGCTGCTTGCAGATTTATCCTGGGGGTAGTTGGTAAGCGCAGACTTTCATTTTTGGACGATTGGGGCCTGGACTAATTTCGTACGTGAGATAGAGGCGCCCTTGTTCCCAGGGATCATGTTCTATCTCTCGGTGTGTGAAGCTCTCTCAAGAAGATAGAGTCCTATCTCTGACATACACAGAAATGGTACACGCAGAGAGAACTGGGCGTGCGGATGACCATATTCTTCTCGGCCGCTCATATTGCCAATGCTTTTGGGAGCTTGATTGCCGCCGGCATACTGAACGGCCTGGACGGTCATCGGGGGTTATCTGCCTGGCAATGGCTGTATATCATCGAGGGGGCCAGTAAGCCACACTATTCAGTTTCCTGGAGCGCAACTCACTAACTCTGGCGAGTCTCCATCTTCATCGGTTTCATCGCTTGGTACCTGCTGCCGGACTTTCCAGAGAACTGGCGTGCCTTATCCCCCGAGATGAAACACGTCGGTACGTCTCCTTCATCCACGTTCTCTACACAATCACTGACTGGACCTACCAGCCGTTCGACGTATGGCCCTCCAAGCCGCCGAAAGCGATCTAGACGAAGGCAATGCCGCCTCGCAACTCACCGGCCTCAAGCTCGCCTTCGCAGACCCCAAACTCTACCTCTTCGCAGGCATCTACATCTGCATTGTCGGCTCCTTCGGCTTCACCAACTTCTTCCCGACCCTCACATCCTCTCTGGGCTACAACCACACCATCTCCCTCCTCCTCGCCGCCCCGCCCTTCATCTTCATGACCCTCTACAGCTACCTCCACAGCCTTCTCAGCGACCGCCTCCAGTCCCGCTTCTGGTTCTTCATCTACCCGATCCCCATCGCCATCACCGGCCTCCTCCTCTTCATGAACACCGACTCCCTCCCCGCGAAATACTTCGCCACCTTCCTAATGATGTTCTGCGTCTGCATGAACGGCACAACGCTCAGCTGGGCCGCGAGCTCCATGCCCCGGCCCCCCGCCAAACGCGCCGTCGCCTACGCCTTCATGAACGGCGTCGGTAATACCACCGGCATCTGGACGCCGTTTACCTATCGTGACCGGGACTGGCCGCATTATCGGCTTGCGCTGGGCATCTGTATCGGGCTGCAGGCTGCGGCGGCGGTGCTGGGCACCTGGCTGCGGTTCGTCCTGGTAAGGGAGAATAAGCGGTTGGAGAGGGAGGAGAGGGAGGCGGTGCAGGGCTTGCAGGGTGGGGTTACGAGTGGGATTAGTGGGTTTCGGTATATTGTGTGATGCGGTAGTGGTTGGGTTTCTGCGCGTAGACGGGTTGGAATTATCGGCGCAACGGGCTATATCAAGTGGATTGGCCATGGCACTAGCAACACATAAAATGGATGGTTGTCACTTTAGCCTAGTGGTGCTTCGTTCCGTTGGCTTTCGTCCTAACTATAGCTCGATAGGGCACAGCACCACAGATAAAAGTCTCAACCGGGATCTGATCGAAATCGATCGTTTGCCCACTGCTGACATTATGTGCATCTAGGTACAAATTTCTATGAAGGAGATATAGACATGTCCCAGCTAAGCGGAGAGTGGAGAGAATCAATCACTGTAGCTAATCCTTCCTGTACGTCTCCAGTGATTGAATCGAGCGAAAAAAAATAAAGGCTGTCGTGGGAAATCACAACCCACAGACAATGACCGTATACGCCGTCCGGGTATGATGCAACAGAATCAAATATCCTGAGAATCCAGAGCCCATATCTCCCAGTGTTGCAACACCTCCCACCCCACGCGTCGGACCCGCCGTCTCCAGATCCGTCCATCCTTGCTGATCTGTGTCTGTAAGCATGGGTCCGATTCATCCAACCTTGCTTCCCAGCTCTTCGCCGGCCGTGCAGGCGGTGAGCTATCTTGCCGCGGACGTTTTCCTAGAAGAGAACATGGTTGACCGGTTTGAGAAGGCTCGGCTGTGACGGGCGTACCGTTAGGTGCCGGCGTGAGAGGATCCTGTGGCTGCGAAAAGGGTCGATCACTGGCCGTGAGGCTCCGGTCCTGTTGACCGTTGACCACTGGACTGGCTGAGGAGGAGGCAACTGTGGGCGTCGTGGGTTGTGGCTCCCCGTCAGGAGCTGCATTGTCTACAGGGACCGTGTAGTAATCCCCTAGTTGCCAGGCTTTGCGGCCCATGCCGATGATCTTCAGCTGGCGGAATAGATGCTGATCGGCTAGTGCCTCGCTGAATTTTTCCGCAAGGACCTGATCGTCCATCTCGACTATATCAGCGAGAGTCTGTGCCGACGACAACAGCTGTGATGTAGACAACGAAGACTTCGACGAGTGCCCTGAAACAGTCTTCGCTCGTCGTGATGGGTCGCTTCCTGCCGAAGATGATCCTGGGCCAGTCGGAACTAGCAGGCGAATAGCGACCAGATTGCGAAGGAACGGGAGTACAAGTCCCAAAGTATCCATACTGGAAAGCTCTGCTGCCAAAGCCAGTTGCTCCAGTTGCGGACTGGCATGAACAAGACGGGCTATTGTGGATGCTGAGAGTGGCCAGCGAGAGGGGAGCAGAAGATGGCGTAGCGTTGCGCAGTGGTTCATGATTATGTTATTCAGATAGATATCACGAATGCTGGCCTGCACACCAGTATTCGACCCCGGCGACGCGACAGGAGTTTCATCAGTGGAGGCGCTCAGAGTTGAACTATTGGTGGTATGATCCACGGACGGCGGCGTGAGCGCCGAAGACGGGAGCAATCGCCGGGGCGAGTTGACATTGCCCGATGAATCTCGCGATGCATTGACGAAATACAGCTTCTCCAGGCCAGTAAAATAAGAGAAAAACTCAGCATGTCTCCTCGAGGTGGAATCTTGTCTGAGCGACTTGAAATTCACCTGACCGGGAGGCCCTTTCGGCCAGCTGCTATCAAAAAAAGTATTCAGTGATTTGGCGCTCTCCGATCCGCATTCGCTGAGAAACGTCATATCTTCGAGCGCACTCGGGTCAAGCGCAACTTTGAACTCCTCGCTGTGGCGGGCATATAGATTCTGAAGCGCCAGCTTCTTGACCTTCAACGGCTGCTTAGCGGCAATGCACTTGCGGAAGTAATCATGCAGCATGACGCTGGGCTCCTGCTCGATGCGCATCCGCGGCGACCAGTGCATCTTCAGCTCTCGCAGTTTCTTACACTTCCACAACAACGTCGAGATATCATCGGGATAGCACAGCGGATCGATATGCGTGATCTTTAACGAGCGCAGGTGAGGCATCGGCGGTATAACGATCGTCGGCCGCGGATGCCGACTCGAGGGAAATCGCACAGTGAGCGAGGTGAGCTTCGGCCGCTGCGCCAGCCCCAAGTACACCGTCTCGAGCATCTTCGTGCTCAGCTCCCAGCGGAAACTCTCCAGCTCCGTCATCCGATCGACGGCTGCACGCACCGCGATGTTCAACATCATAGACGAATCTGGCACCCGGCCGACCCGTGCGTGTTCCTCCAGCTCATCCTCCCGCCAGTCTCCGCGCAGCGTCAGCGACCGCACTAGCGAGGCGTAGGGTCTCGTAATGACAGCATTGAGACCCATCGAGAAAGGGCTGGCGCTGCCGATTCCTTCCGGCTCATCCCCGCGGTATCGAATTTTGTCGTAGGAGGTCAAGGTGATGTGTCTGTAGAGCTGCGGGAGGGCCATGTAATTGAGGACCCGACATGTTCGGCACAGACGGGCAATGTCGCCGGTATTGTCGAGCTGTACGTATCAAATTGCGTCAGATTTTCATCACTTACCATGCAAAATCAACGCGTTCTGGGACACGAACCTGAGCTATAATGAGAGCGAGCACATTCAACGGTAGAACTAACAGTGACGCACCATGCGGCCGTTCCGTCGTGATGCTGGCATCAAACATATTCCGATTGACGGCCGCCATGATGCGACGCCCGACGATGGAGTCGCAGCATTGACTGACACAAGGTACGGTCCTGGACAAAAGAGCGATGCATCGAGGTCTGACCCAAGATCGCTGCAGGTGGATGATGACGATTCGGTCGAGGCGGTGCGGGAAGCAACTTTTTCGATCTGCACGGATCTATGAGTTTCCGAGATGTCTTGTGAAGCTTTATTAGGCTACAATGCTAAGGCCCTATTTAATTATCATAGTCTACAAAGCACTGAAAACATCAAGCACATCGAAACATTTAAAATATTATGGTCTTTGTCATGGTTATATGACAGAAATAATTCAAGGGTATCTTTTACACAGCAAGACCTCTTTCTGTAACCCCGCCAGCTGCTCTGACTTTCCCAAATATTCAAGTAATGTGCAATTCATAGGCGATCAGACGCCGTGCACATCGTTCCAGCTCGTAAATAAGAAGTGACAACATATCATCGAAAGAGAAAAAGAAAACTTATTACCACGTGGTGAATGATCCCCGACTCCTCGCTAAATTAACAGTCGAAAGGGTAATAGAATGCAAACAGACCCAGGCCAATAAGAACGATAACAAGTAAAGAACGTGCGTGCCGTCAACAGCTATCTCTCGGATCATGTGCGGTCTTGACTGGGATCATCCCGAGGACTGTCGCGAGTCGGGGACCGTTGCTGATCCTGCGGTGACGGCGCCGACGATGGAGGCTGCTCAGTTGGAGCGCTACTTTGACTCTCATGCAGACCATCAGGAGCGTCGTGCTCCGCAGGCCCACCGGCTGCCTCATCAACAGGCTGAGCGTCTACATTGTGGGCCGTGTTCGCTGCAGCAGCTTGTTGCTGTGCATGATGATCATCAGGCACGATAAGCGCCGCTGTTTCCGGGTCGTAGCGCAGTTCATAGTTGCCATTGCCGAGAATTGAGTCCCCCTCAGGCAGACTCCACGGAGCGGCAGTTCGAGTCTGCGGCTGGATCACCCTCACTGGCAGATTGGAGCGGTGGGAACGAACGACACGATTGGACGTCGGTTCCAGTATGTTTGCATCGTTCAGCCATTGCGGTGACCATGTATCCTGGCCCCGGCGTCTGGCAGGAATGACGGTCACGGGTAGGGAAGCACCCGCGTCTCGCCTATCGGAGCCGGGCCTGATCCTGAAATTGAATGGGAACAACTGTCCGTGATTGCTGCATGCAGCACGCTGTCTGTCCCTTTCATCGCCACTCAAATCTTCCTGCGCAATTGAAGGATCCTCGTCTGCCTGTGCTGAGGCAACTTCCCTGGGCAGAGAGGCACGTCTCTTCTTAAAGGGATTAAGAATCGTTCGCCAACGGTGGTCTGTATTGACGATCTGAGGTGACTCTTCGCGGGTCTGCTGCGCTGAAAGACGCGGCTGGGCGACGTTAGCCTCTCCTTCCTCGGATCTCATGGCCATTTCCTTCAGCTGGTCGGTCTCATATTCATCTTCCTCCTCCATATGAGGCATCACGACAGGAGGCGTTGGGCTAGACACTGGGTGGTAATGGACATTATACACGGTGCTGGCTGCACTTGTGGTATCCGCCCGACTAACTGGAGTAGCAGCCGCCGGCGGTGGTGTTGGGCGGCCAGCTCCATGACGTCGCACATCGGAACCAACTGTTTTGCGTTGTTTGTCCGGCTTGCGGTTACTACGGGGTAGACCAACCCTTGTGCGCAGAGGTCGATGTGCCAACCCCATGACACCTCCCCAGCCCGAGGACATACCGGTTCCCCCGCCCCGGTTGCCTCCGCCATAGGTCTGGCGAGGCCAGTCGACCTCTTCCGATGGTGTGACTTCCAGCATTTCGTCTCCGTCGAATAACTCCCTTCCGAGAATGCCATCCTTCCTTTCGTCCCGTTCCAGTGCTTCAATTCGTTCCACCCACTCCCAAACCACAACGCTCGCGGCCGCTGACCCGACCCATCGTATGTAGGTACCCCAACCGGCAATCTCTTCTTTGGCGATATCCAGAACGAAGAAAATGACAGGTATGAGAACAGCACACAAAGATAAAAGTGCGACCAAGCAGATATTCCTCATCTTGGGGTGAAAAAAGGCATATCGGTGTTTGGATAGTGAATAGAAGATTACCCATGCCGCGTATAGAAGATTGAGAGCCAGCTCAAACAGATAGCTGAGCGCGGGAATCGCATCGTCGTAGAGTCGGGGCCGCGTAGTATTGGTCTTGACCAAAAACTTGTCCAGAATGCTAAATATCGTGTCCAAGACAATTAACGCGAATCCGGCCCATTTGATCATGATCTTCTCCTTATGTCGCGGGAATAACCGTATCAACGTCTGCACCTGTGCCAACCATAGAAACGTGCTTGATATAATTCTGACAACGCGGATCTCCGTGCCATCGATGACTTCCTCGGTGAGCGCTTCGGCATCGGAATAACCGTAGTTATACTGCCGCTCAGCGACCCGGAACGAGTCAGCAGACGCGATAGTCAACGATACAGCCACCAATATCGCAGCTACTTTCTGTAGCCAAGGTCTTCCCCCAACGCCGACCACCGAGGAATTGCCGCTATAGGATCCGCTGATCATGCCATGGCGCCCCAAAAAATTGGCGCCGCCCCCCGGGCCGCCAACATAGAACGTTCGTGGTGTGATGAGTAATATTATGACGAGGAGATAGCTCACGACGGTTGCGCAGCCGATAGCGTATAACTGCGGTGTGACGGAAGAGTAGAAGGGGTCGCGGGTGTCAAGGAGGGGAGATGGCTGTCGAGTATCGGTTGGTTGACTTGTACATATGGGCTCAAAAACGGCATTTTCTGTGAGAGTGATTGCAAAGGATCGGTTAAGATAGACATATCCTAGAAGCATGCGCAACGGACGCGACAGTCAGCTAGAGTTGAGAGAGATGTAGGGCGCCTACAGTGGCGCAGCGACATCATAGAACAAGTAAATGCACAACACGATTGATTAATGATGATCACGTACCATCGCTAGGAAGCAGAAAGGGAGTGCAGCCTGGTGAATAGGATTTGGTGGAGGTCGTCGTTGGATTAGCCCATATTTGGCGGGGAGTTAGACGAGCATCATCCCCCATGGTCAGGCAGACTCTTGAAGACGTCTTACGTCGTCGTCGGTTGCGAGGGATTCATAAAAGCCGGGATTTGTGCGATAAGACTTCTCTCGATGACCATTTAATGCAAACAGATGGAAATTGCCTCAAACCCCCATAATGGCACCGTTCTTATGAATGTGGTCATTCGCGAGTGGTCGGGTCTCTATACGACGGCAGCAACAGACAAGTCTAGAGGCGCAAGGAGTATCGAAATCGCCACGTGCGATGAGAATCTGTATTCAAAGATGATCAAGCAGGGTAGGCAAGACAAAATGTCAAACAAGAATGGTGGAAAAGGCTTGTTCGAACAATTGGGTTGCGGAGGAGGTGCGCATAGGTCATATTCGCCAGGCTACCTTAAAGGAGAGAAGAGGCCAAGACTTGGTGCGATCTGATGAACCATCCGCCACCGCGGTCCAGATCTCTTATAGCCATTGAACAACTGCACAGTAAGCCAACATTACAGCCGATGAACAAATTTCCTCCGAGCAAATGATTGTTTTGTGGTATGATAGATGTTTAGTTGCTAATAGCTACGGAGCAACTTGGCCTCCAGATTCTTTGCAAATCTAAGAGTTGCTGGACTTGCGCTGTCTTAGGTACAATTCGACTCCGAAAACCCCGTCACTACCTTTAAGGGCATTTGCATGACAAGCAAAGTGGCTCGTATATTCTATTGCTTGTCTCCTGTCGATGGATCTAGAACTCCTTGTCCTAACCCTTTTTTGAGGTAAAGTGTTTCACAGCAGCCATGTGCATGCATGTGAGTATACTACCCGTCGTCGGCAGTCTAGAGCCCTCATTCAGCTTACTGATGTCAAACATGCTGACAGGAATGGGGTGCGACCTCTCTTATGGACTTATCCAGCTGCCTGCTGTATCTTTAATCTCAGTAAAGTCGTGGATAGTAAACAAAACGGTTCATGCCTGAAGGACCGGTCCAAGCTGCCCCGACATATCTGATGTAACCGGATCAGTGACTCTGTGTCTATTACCTAGAACAGGAGAATAGAATATCCTCACAGTTGAGATATTTCTGTCCTACAGGTAATTTGGACGCAAGTACGGAGTAATTACAGCAAAAGATATGTGCGACCTTGAACCTTAAATTCCCAATCACCTGAATCACCATTCAGCTACACGCTGACTCCTTGGATCGGCTAACCGGAGTGTTTTTGACTCAATCTCGTCATATCTCTTGACGTCGATGCATATATATATTGCCCGATAATTCGGCAAAATTTCAGATGTCGCTAAAACAGGATCCAACGCCGGAGCTAGGGATACCCCTCGCTCAATGCTGCAGAGTGAAGATTGTAACAGAAGACGGAGAGTATTGAAAACGAATCAAATATAAGCCGTCCAGTAGAACGCCCCGAGAAAAGAAGATATCAAGGAAATCAACTTGTTTCGTCGTCCTGACAGAGGGTAGTAACTCTCACCCAACCGCGCACAAGACCTCAAAATGTCGATTTCTGGGAAGCACCTGTCGATCTATAGCGACCTGGGCGACATCATCTCGGCGGCTGGCCATAGGACATCTGCAAGGGCGCTGCATATGGTGATATCAGTGCCTGCCCCGTGGCCCAAGCAACTCTTTCTCGCTCTTCTTCCCGAGTCTTGAATTCCTTTTCGTCTTGTATGAGCGTGCAGCATGTGCAGCATGTCGCTCGCACACAATCAGATCCAACGTTGCCATTGATACCGTACGCTTTGCGTGTCCGTGTGTGCTGCACAGTAGCCAGCAGCCCTATTTCAAACTCAGTATCGAAGTTTTGCTGTCGGCATGATCAAGAAACTCACATTGACATCCGCATAGCAAGGCCATTGCCGTACACGAGCCGTTGCATATCTCGTGGCCTAGCATGTTGGTTGGGTTCTCTTTTTTCGCTTTCATCGA